ATCGTGTCTCCACTGTAATCCACCTGAAAAACAAACAGGGAAGTTTACACTGGTCTCTGTGTCAACCGTCTGCCCCCGCAATGATCTCTACAACAATGTAAGGGCTAGAAGACCAACTCTGGTGTGTGTGTGTGTGTGTGTGTGTGTGTGTGTGTGATATTTGGGGAGCATGAGCTATGTGTCTGGCTTAGGTTGGGCATTGGGAACACCAGTGGCGAACAAAGATAGATGTGATCCTTACTCGCAAGGGGCTTATAGTCTACTGCCAGAAGAAAGGCATTAATCAAATAATCACAAAAGTAAAACCAGACTGCAATCACTGCTATGAGGGAGGATGCACAGTGTAGCAAAGCTTATCATAGGGAAAACTAACCTAGTTAGGGTTTATAAGGAGAGTAGTGGGAAGAGGAAGGTCATGTTCTCTCTGTGACCTCTGAGTGCTGATAAATGATTAAGACAAGCATTTGTGCCCTTGTATTTCTAGATCTAATATGGTCTCCATGATTTTTAAAAATCATGTAACGCCCCCAGCTAGGAACTCAGGGCACGGAGATAAACAAGACATTGCTTAGGAGACAAACCCTGAAAGAAATTGTAATACAAGGTACCAAGTGTGATACTAGCAAGAGGAGTGTGCAAGGATGCCTAGGAGCCCAGAAGGCACAGGGGATTGGTTCTGCTCGGGGTGCGCCTGGCAGATAGGGAAGAGGAGGGGTGTCCAGGCAAAAAATTCAGCACAAACAAACCATGGAGATGGGAGAGTATAGGGTATGCAGGTGGACCAGGATAAAATCCAGGGGGGCCAACATAGAGTGTGTAGGTAGAATAAGTAAATCTTTGGAAAGGACGTTTGGAAGCAGAAATGGAGGGGCCCAGCGTCACAACTTCTCTTAAATCCAATAGTTGCTCAAGACCTACATGTTAAAGTTGTCTTTTCCACAACTTCCGTGATCCTAGAACTATGTTCAGTTTTTTGGCACAGGTGTGTTGATTAGTCATATTATGATAATATTTTTCTTTAAATCAACTCATTTAAAAAATATTTTGAAACCTTAAAACGTATTTAATAATAATATGTGTAATATCGCAGTTTGGATATGCTAGCTCAATGTTTTATAAAGCATAATATAATAAATGCATAAAAATTAAAAAAATAATTGTTTCCCTGTGTGCCACATGAAATCACCTTGAGTCCCATCAGTGGTATTTGTATTCCTTGATTTAAAAAAAAATTATACCAGGCGTGGTGGGTCACACCTGTAATCTCGGCATTTTGGGAGGGCGAGGCAGGAGAATCACTTGAGACCACATGTTCAAGATCAACATAGCGAGACCCCATCTCAAAAAAGCAAAAAAAAAAAAAAATTCTACCACAACTCTAGGACAATATAGATGTTAAAAAACAGAAACGCATTACTTTTTTCCATCACTTATGTATTATATTTAGTGATTGAGCAAAATGTGTTCAATCTAAACAGCTGGTGTGTATGACTAGCAGATAAAGACCATTGTATCTTTCTGCCCTTGGGCCGAGATGCTCTTTTCATCTTATGTTGTCCAATTTCTGTAGTGCTGAAAAGAATGCATTGTCCATACTAATGACAACTCACTGTTACCTCCTCCCATCCTCTCTAGAGGTGCAGTTTGTGGTGGTCAGTTGCCTGTTTTTCGTCGCTGTGAAGGCTTTTAATTAAAAGGAAGGTAATTTGCAATATTAAGCATGTCTTCTCTGAATTAATCCTCAAAACAACTCTAAAACAGTAGTGGATAAAGCCCTATTTTACAGATAAAGAAATGGGGCTCAGACAGATTCAAGTGACTGCCCCTCTTAGTGCTTTGTGACCAGCCAGAGATGGGTTTGAATTTAGAATTATTTGATTCGAAGCCTGGGACTCTTTTTGGCTTCTAACTGACTGCATTCACTTAGGTGGGCCTTTTTCCCCATCCATTTAACAGATATTTTCTGAATGCCAGTTATGTAGAAGGTACTCTGCTATATGATGGGAGATCCAGAGATAAGTATAAATGGTATAAACTGTGCTATCAAGATGCTTATAGCCGCCGGGCACGGTAGCTCATGCCTGTAATCCCACTATTTTGGGAAGCTGAGGCGGGCACATCACTTGAGGTCAGGAGTTTGAGACCAGCCTGTCCAACATGTTGAAACCGTGTCTCTACTAAAAATACAAAAATTAGCCAGGTGTGGTGGTGTGCACCTGTAATATCAGCTATTCAGGAGACCAAGGCAGGAGAATCGCTTGAACCTGGGAGGCAGAGGTTGCAGTGAGCCAAGATCATGCCACTCACTCCAGCCTGGGCAATAGAGTGAGACTCTGTCTCAAAAATAGATAAATAAATAAATAAATAAATAAAAATACAAAAGTTAGCTGGGCATGGTGGCATGCACCTGTAGTTCCAGCTACTAAGGGGATTGAGAGAGGAGGATCACCCGAGCCTTGGGAGATCGAGACTTCAGTGAACTGTGATCACGCCACTGCACTCCAACCTGGGTGACAGAGTGAGATATTGTCTCAAAAAAATAAAAAAAAAAAAATAATAATAAATAAATAAAAGACCAGGCGTGGTGGCACATGCCTGTAATCCCAGCACTTTGGGAGGCTGAGGCGGGTGGGTCACCTGAGGTCAGGAGTTTGAGACCAGCCTGACCAACATGGTGAATCCCCATCTCTATGAAATACAAAAAAGTAGCTGGGTGTGGTGGCGCATGCCTGTAATCCCAGCTACTTGGGAGGCTGAGGCAGGAGTATCACTTGAACCCAGAAAGTAGAGGTTGCAGTGAGCTGAGACCACAACATTGTATTCAGCCTGTGCAACAAGAGCGAAACTCCATCCCTCCCAAAATAAAAGAAAAAGAAAAAAGAAAAAAAGAAAAAAGGCTGGGTGCGGCGGCTCACGCATGTAATCCCAGCACTTTGGGAGGCCGAGGCAGGCAGATCACCTGAGGTCAGGGGTTTGACACCAGTATGGCCAACATGATGAAGACCCATCTCTACTAAAAATACAAAAATTAGTTGGGTGTGGTGGGAGGCGCCTGTAGTCCCAGCTACTCAGGAGGCGGAGGCAGGAAAATCGCTTAAACCTGGAAGGCAGAGGTTGCAGTGAGCCAAGATGGTGCCATTGCACTCCGGCCTCAGTGACAGAGCAAGACACCATCTCGAAAAAAAAAAAAAAAAAAAGAGAAAAAGAAAAGAAAGAAAGAAGCTTTTAGCTCCTTCCTGGGAGAGTCAGAATTATAAATGGCTACATTTAAAAAATTAATTTTATTTTAACTAATATAGACACCGTTAAGAAATTCGAACAGTTGGCCAGGCGCGGTGGCTCATGCCTATAATCCCAACACTTTGGGAGGCCGAGGCAGGTAGATCACAAGGTCAGGAGATCGAGACCATCCTGGCTAACACGGCGAAACCCTGTCTCTACTAAAATTACAAAAAAGCTTAGCTGGGCGTAGTGGCGGGTGCCTGTAGTCCCAGCTACTCAGGAGGCTGAGGCAGGAGAATCCCTTGAACCCGGGAGATGCAGTTTGCAGTGAGCTGAGATCAGGCCACTGCACTCCAGCCTGGGGACAGAGTGAGACTCCATCTCAAAAAAAAAAAAGAAAAAGAAAAAGAAAGAAAGAAATTCAAATGATTTATGAAATGTCAGATTAAAAATAAAACCTTTTCCTCTTACCCCGAAATCCTAGACCTGTTCTGCAGATGAAGCCAGCATGAATAACTTCTTCGTATTTTTACTTTCCTCTGCCACTCTACAAACTATTTGAAGTGACTCATAGTGAAGACTATTTTTTTTCCATTATAAAGTTAATAGTATAGAAATAGAAAACCAAGTCATTAAAAAAAGAAGGAAACTAGCATGTGATATAGTTGCTATGATTGAGCATCACATCTTAGCAACTTAGCTTCCTGGCAGCCAAGACAAAAAGGGAACAAGCTAAGTTCCATAGCTCTCATTATCAGAAAGGAAGAAGTCCATTGCTATTTTGGTCCTTAAACCTTAAGCTCACTTCTCACCTGGAAGCCCACAGAAGGACATTGATAGACACAATAATTAATGTTTTTGGCAACAGCCTTACCACAATTGCCAATTTTTGTCTGCCCTTTCTTGTGAAGGCCTTTAATTAAGGTCAAGGGCTTAACACTGAAGCAGACATCAGTGAGGGCTCGGCTAACCTAGTTCAACAACTGTCTGTAACCCAAAGCAGAATGAAATCAGGAGCTAGTTAGCACTACAAGTGAAGTATACAGGATCTCAAGAGGATCATGCAATTACAGTTGTCCCTTCATATTCATGGGAGATTGGATGCTCAAGTTCCTTATATAAAATGACATAGTGTTTGCATATAACCTATGCATATCCTCCTGTATAATTTAAACCATCTCTAGACCACTTACAATACCTAATATAATGTAAATGCTGTGTTTGTTAGACTGTATTTTTTTATTTGTATTATTTTTAATGGTTTTGTTGTTGTTGTTGTTTCTAAAAAATTATCTCTGCTGGGCGTGGTGGCTCACATTTGTAATCCTAGCATTTTAGGGGGCCAAGGTGGGCAGGATCTCTTGAGTGCAGGAGTTCGAGACCAGCCTGGGCAACATGGTGAGACCCCTCCCCCTGCTGTCTCTACAAAAAGTACAAAAAATTAGCCAGGTGTGTGCCTGTAGTTTCAGCTACTTGGGAGGCTGAGGTGGGAGGATCACTTGAACCAGGGAAGTGGAGGTTGCAGTGACCTGAGATTGTGCCACTCACTGCACTCTAGCCTGGGTGACAGAGCAAGGCCCTGTCTCAAAAATAAATAAGTAAATAAAAAATAAAGAAAAAAGAAACAGAAAAAAATTATCTGCAGGTTACTTATCATGCCTAATACATTGTAAATGCTATCTAGTTGTTACAGTGTCTTGGTTTTTATTTGCCTTATTTTTTATTGCTCTGTTGATTTTCTTAATTGTTTTTTCCCACTGAATATTTTCCATCCACAGGGATTCAGAACCTGCGGATGTGGAGGGCCAGAGGTCTGAATTTGCAAGTTGGGCAATGGGGAAAGCCTTCACAAAGGAGAAAGCATTTGGGCTGGAGTTGGGGAGGAGTAGGAGTCAACAGACAGAGAAGAGAGTAAAGGACAAGGCCATCATTCCAGGTTTAGGAAGCAAGTACAAAGACACAGAGAAATGAAAAGGCTTGGCCTGTTTGGAGAATGTCAAGCTGTCTGGGGTTGAGAGAAAGAGATTCTAACAAGGCTTCCATTAAAGAGGCTATATTTGCTGCTTGGACATTTTCTAGCTCTTCTGAGACAACTTTTTGTTGAGTTAAGCGAAAATGAATGAAAATCAGATGGACCATATTTCTCTTGAATACACACGGGCTTAAAAACGAAGGGGAAAAAGAACTTGACAGAATGTGTCTTGGCTTTTGCCAAACCCAAAGTATTTGAAAAATCACACAGTACACATCTCGAACCCAAAAACATGCCTGGATTCTACCACCCCTAATTGCAGCTGCAGCCATTTAATAAAATGAATTGTGTACAAGAAAATGGGGTCTGAATGGAGCGAGCTTCATTAGAGAGAATGACTGATGTAGGGCGGTTGGCTGGTGCCCTTGAGAAAGTACGTATCTCATTGCCCTTGCAGAGAAAGAGAGAGGCCCAATGTAGAGCTTGCTAACCACGCTATTGAATCAAGCTCTCTTGTAGAGAACAACTAAAACCCCACATTATTTAACTTTATTGTATCGTGTGCAGGAAGAATTCAGCATCTCTTGTTTCTCTCCTGCTCTGTTTCTCAGTTTTACACTGTGGGGTATGACAATGAAAAGAAACATGTTTTGCATCAGTTTCGATTCATATAAATGGTTACCAAATAAGAGATGGTGGAAATAGAACAAGACCTCTAATATACTGTTTATTCCTGTTCAAAACCCTTGGCTTGAGCATCATGGACATTTGAAAAGTGGAAGAAATCTGAGGCCCAGAAAGGTTAACTGATTTGTCCATGGTCCACAATTGGTTAGTTGTAAAGTTGGGACTTAAACCTAGACCTCTGATTCCTGTTCTTTCATAGCAAACACATTTTTTTTTTTTTTTTTTTGGTTAGTGTTGCAGGGCGAGGGTCAGGCTGAGGTACTAGATGTCCCAGAGATTCCTTCAGCTTAACATCTTCCTAACATTTTTACACCAAACCATCTTGGGTCCCTCAGTTTCTGATCTTAGTAGCACTATCACCTCTGGGTTACTCACTCCAGAAACCTGGGCATTCCTCTTGACTATTCTTTCTCCCTTATACCTCTTATTTAAATAATCTTCCAGGCTGGGCGTCGTGGCTCACTCCTGTAATCCCAGCACTTTGGGAGGCCAAGGCTGGTGGATCACTGAGGTCAGGAGTTCGAGAGCAGCCTAACCAACATGGTGAAACCCCATCTCTACTAAAAATACAAAAACTAGCTTGTCATGGTGATGGGCAGCTGTAGTTGCAGGTACTTGGGAGGCTGAGGCAGGAGAATCGCTTGAATCCAGGAGGTAGAGGTTGCAGTGAGCTGAGATCACGCCATTGCACTCCAGCCTGGGTGACAAGAGCGAAACTCAGTCTCAATTGAATAAATAAATAAATAATCTTCCAATTGTACAGATCTTCCTTTCTAAATATTTCTTAAATATGTCACTTTCTCTCTAGCCCTGTGTTCACTGACCTAGTTTTGACCCTAGTTGTCTTTCTCTCACTCTTCCACTTAAAAACAAAACAAAATTGCCCAGGTATGTGGCTTGTGCTTGTAACCCCAGCACTTTGGGAGGCCAAGGCAGGAGAACTGCCTGAGTCCAGGAGTTTGAGACCAGCCTGGGCAACACAGTGAAACCCTGTCTCTAGAAAACATACAAAAATTAGCCAGGCGTCGGATCACCTGATGTCCAGAGTTCAAGACCAGCCTGGGCAACATGGTGAAACCCTGTTTCTACTAAAAATACAAAAATTAGCTGGGTGTGATGGCGGGTACCTGTAATCCCAGCTACCCGGGAGGCTGAGGCAGGAGAATCACTTGAATCTGGAAGGTGGAGGTTGCAGTGAGCTTAGATCACGCCATTGAACTCCAGCCTGGGTGACAAGTGCAAAACTCCATCTCAAAAAAAAAAAAAAAAAAAAAAATTAGCCAGGCATGATGGTGTGTGCCTGTAGTCCCAGCTACTGGGGGGCTGAGGAAGGAAGATCGCTTGAGTCCAGGAGGTCCAGGCCGCAGTGAGTCAAGACTGCACCACTGCATTCCAGCCTGGGTGATAGACTTTGTCTAAAAAAAAAAAAACCAAAACAAAACCAATAATACTTCATATTTTGAATTTATTCTGCCAATTTATTTTTTGTTTCATCTTCATTAACCTGGATTATTGCAATATTCCCTAAACAGCCTCCCTGCCTGGGAACCATTCTCCACACTGCTGCCGGAGTGATTTTTTTTTTTTTTTTTGAGATGGAATTTCGCTCTTGTTGCCCAGGCTGGAGTGCAATGGTGCAATCTCGGCTCACCGCAACTTCCGCTTCCTGGTTCAAGCAATTCTCCTGCCTCAGCCTCCTGAGTAGCTGGGATTACAGGAATGCACCACCATGCCTGGCCAATTTTGTATTTTTAGTAGAGACGGGGTTTCTCCATGTTTTTCAGGCTGGTCTCAAACTCCTGACCTCAGGTGATCCTCCCACCTCAGCCTCCCAAAGTGCTGGGATTACAGGCGTAAGCCACCACACCTGGCCTTGATTATTCTAGTTTGCAAATAACCTGTTACTGCCCGTCCTTAGTGCCCCTCTATGGCAGCATTCAACTCTAACAAGACTGGTCCTTATTATGCTTCCATGACTCCATCTCTTGCTCTTTCCAATCTCAAACTTTATGCTGAGCACCATAACACCTGTGGCTTCTTGAGCAAGGCAGGCTGCTTTTTATTTGTTTGTCTGTTTGTGGTTATTTTTTGCTTGCTTTTGCTCACTTTTGTTTTTACCTCTGTGCCTTTGTTCATACCGTGCTCTCCACTGGCAATGCCATTCCCATCCATCACGTACTGCCCCAAGGAATTTTCATCCTCAGCATCTGGCATGAAAACAAGCATAATGTAGATATTCAATAAAATGTTTTTAAGAGCATTCTTGACTTATGAGCACAGTCCAAGATGCCCATTCACCCACTCATTCATTCATCTGCATGATCTCACTTAATCTTTGCAGGAGGCCCATAGGCAAAGTGCCATTCATGTGATACACACTGGCATAAGTTGTGCCATTGTAACTGCTGCTGCAATATTATGTCAACATTGTAGTAGTTGGTAAATAGCCACTGTCCTGAGACCACTGAGCGTCCCCCCACCACACTGACTCCTCTCCTGGAGTGCCCTGGTCCTCCCTATGATCCAGCTACTAAAGGGTTAACTTCGGGTACTTTCCCCCCACCCCACCAGCAACCTATGGCAGCACCCTTGTTGCGGTTCTCCTGCCATCTGTGTTGTTAAATGCACACTGCCACTTCTGCCCAGAGGGAGGGTTTCACAGACTCTATTTTATGCCTGAAGCTTAGAGAGGTTAAGCGACTTGTCAAGATCACTCAGCAAACTCCTGGTTCCCCTGTCTGCGAATCCAGAGCTCTTTCTAGGACACACTGAAGCCTTCTTCTCCTGTCTGTTTTATTCCTTGTGATGTCCAACATCTTGACTGACCAGAACCTGCCCCAGTTTTGACGCACTCCTTTGTGCACAGGGTGAGGCTCTGGGTAGCCAAGTGTCAGGGCTTGAATACAGCCTCCTACATTTACCTAAACTTAAAATACAACAGCAAGCAACGAGGTCTTTCTTTTTTTTTTTCCCCCGCATGTGAAGGTTTGTGTGTATGTGTGTGTTCTGCAAATTCAAGATCAGCCAAATTAAATTTTAGTTCAACTTGTTCAAACAACATTACATTCACTTGGAAACACAGTGGGGTATTTCTGGCCTGATGTATTATTACTCTCCTTAGGTTATAACTGTTTCACTTTCTCTCTTTCTTCATAAAAGAAAGTCCCTTTTCCAGTTGGAGCTTCACTGAGGAAGAGTGGGGCAACCGGAGACAGAGTACAGAGCACAATATTCATTGCTGTTTTTGGACACGGAACCGAAAGGTTTGCCCATACATAAAAACACACTTCTAAAGGCCAAGGTTTTGTGCTCTGAAGTTCATAGTCTCAGTTTGATCCTGCTGAACAGCAGAGGATTTTGGTTTTGATATTTTGTTTATTTATTTTTCTGCTTTAGCATTTTGTTTATTATCCTTTAAGTTCTGGGATACATGTGCAGAATGTTCAGTTTTTTTACATAGGTGTACACATGCCATGGTGGTTTGCTGCACCCTTCAACCTGTCATCTATATTAGGTATTTCTCCTAATGCCATCCCTCCCCAGAACCCCCGGTGTGTGATGTTCCCCTCCCTGTGTGTTCTCATTGTTCAACTTCCATTTACGAGTGAGAACATGCGGTGTTTGGTTTTCTGTTCCTTTGTTAGTTTGCTGAGAATGATGATTCCCAGCTTCATCCATGTCCCTGAGAAGCTCATGAACTCATCCTTTATTATGGCTGCATAATATTCCATGGTATATATGTGCCACATTTTCTTTATCCAGTCTATCGTTGATGAGCATTTGGGTTGGTTCCAAGTCTTTGCTATTTTGAACACTGCTGCAATAAACATACGTCTGCATGTGTCTTTATAGCAGAATGATTTATAATCCTTCGGGTATATACCCAATAATGGGATTGCTGGGTCAAATGATATTTCTGGTTCTAGATCCTTGAGGAATCGCCACACTGTCTTCCACAATGGTTGAACTAATTTACACTCCCACCCTCTCCAGCATCTGTTGTTTCCTGACTTTTTAATGATCACCATTCTAACTGGTGTGAGATGGTATCTCCTTGTGGTTTTGATTTGCACTTCTCTAATGACCAGTGATGATGTGCATTTTTCATGTGTCTGTTGGCTGCATAAATGTCCTCTTTTGAGAAGTGACCGTTCATATCCTTCGCCCACTTTTTGGTGGGGTTGTTTTTTCTTGTAAATTTGGTTAAGTTCTTTGTAGATTCTGGATATTAGCCCTTTGTCAGATGGATAGATTGCAAAAATTTTCTCCCATTCTGTAGGTTGCCTGTTCACTCTGACTGATAGTCTCTTTTGCTGTGCAGAAGCTCTTTAGTTTAATTAGATCTCATTTGTCGATTTTGGCTTTTATTGCCATTGCTTTTGGTGTTTTAGTCATGAAGTCTTTGCCCATGCTTATGTCCTGGATGGTATTGCCTAGGTTTTCTTCTAGGGTTTTTATGGTTTTAGGTCTTACATTTAAGTCTTTAATCCATCTTGAGTTAATTTTTGTGTAAGTTGTAAGGAAGGGGTCCAGTTTCAGTTTTCTGCATATGGCTAGCCAACTTTCCAAAACCATTTATTAAATAGGGAATCCTTTCCCCATTGCTTGTTTTTGTCAGGTTTGTCAAAAATCAGATAGTTGTAGATGTGTGGCATTATTTCTGAGGCCTCTGT